CTTCTGTCAACCACCTTCATCTTAGGCTTTATTCTATTAAGACCAATAAAAGTTAACAAAACCACCCCTGATCCTCTCTGTATGGCCAGAACAATGCCATGTTATGACCTCCTTTCACCTGGATTGCCTGTCTATCCCTTAACCATCAATGGGATCAAGCACATGCCACTGCTCAGTAGTGAGTTGTGACAGGGATGCAGGAGAAGCAACCTTCATGTTCAGTACAGCACTATTTTGACATTTCAGTATACCAAGCATAAAGATACAATCATAAAAGTTAACAGAGAGGAAAAACAAGTCACCTAAAAAGGAACAAACAATGCATCAGCATCAGTAAAAAGTTAGAGGACCACGAAACTATGCTTTCAATGATTTGAGGAAAAATTACTTTCATCCTAAAATTTAAAATTCAACCAATGTGTCAATAAAATGTGAGGACAGAGGACGAACACATTGAAAATATAAGGATTTGAAATTAATGCTCTCTAAGGCAGTTTCTTAAAGACAGATTCCATTGAGATGGGAATAAACCAAGAACAAGGAAGACATCAGATCCAGAAATAGGTACTTCCAACTTAGTAGAGAAAGAAAACACTAATTCTTAAATATATTTTCTATAGAAATCGGGAGCTTACATGTAACTTTCAGTAATGATTATATTTAAGTGACTTAAAAGACAATACGCAGAGAATCTGAAAAATTACTATATTTTTAGGATTTAATACTGGTTATCAATATGCCAATTAAACCAGGAGATAACCAAGGTTACATTTCAACATTAAAGAAATTCTAAAGAATAAAGATTAGCTGCAAGAAAACCAGATAGTTTGCAAACGTAATATACCTATCCATAACTGTCATAGTCACCTGGTAATCTATAAGACACAAGGTTTATTACATCTATAGGCTTTCATAACATCTACAAAGTAGATAAGGAACTTACAACTCTGTAAATTCTTTCATTTTCCTACTTCAACAACTAGTAAATCCTATTCTTTCCAAAAAGAAACATCTTTTACTCAAAAATTTGCTCTAATATTTGGAGGAGAAAAGAGTTACAAACACAAAAGACTGACATATATGAAAGTCACAAAACTGCAATCTATTATAAAGGTTTTAAATGGAAGTAAACTTAAATGCTTTCAAAAGCCAGTAACATTCAAAGGATTAAAAATGCAGTTCTATCTTTTCTTAGAACAAGAAAACACTAACTTGAGAAATTATAGCTTTTCTATCTTCATTTTTTACCATAATTATTCAAGTGTTAATCAGAATATGTAAGGCCTCTATTGGAATCATTGTACCAGTACTTCATAAATGGACTTAACCATAAAGCTTTAATTATATAATCTTTTCAATAAAAGCAATATATTTCTGATATTTATGTCCTTAAAATATCCTATAGTAAAATTAATATTTCTATACAGAAAAGAGAAACTATTTGGTCCCAGACAACTTGATAACATCTCTTTCAACTATAGTTATAATTATCATGTATGAACTTCCAAAGCAGAAGTTGTCAAGATTTAACATTAGCATTAATTTATGTCATAACTGACGGTTACTATAAAGATAATGGCAAAGCATTCATTTCTCCAAAGACAGTATGGATCAAAAGGGAAATTTCTTCTTAATTACTACTAATCTACCCATTTTTAATTAAATTGATTACTAATTTAATATGTATCCCTTTTTTGGAAGGCTTTATTATCATAGAATTTCTCCAGAATTATCAAGTTCATGATTTTTAAGCAATGCAATTATTCCTAGTGGGAGTCTCATTGTTCTGTAACATTGATTTATATTAAAATCTTAATGTCTAGTTTCCATGTACTCTGAAAAAGAAAATTTGAAAATGCAAGATTTGCACTGAGTACTTCACATCTCAAGGTGAACACTGTCAAGAATGTAACTGTACCATTACAGAGACAATCATTAAAGGTGGAGCTTTTTTATGCATTTTTCTGTATTAGACAACCAAAATAGTTGTTTTTAACATTTATCTTCCCAGAGGAAAGAAACCAAATACCAGTGATTTTCTCAAAAAAGTAACTACTTCTTATACTATCCACAATAAAAACAGTAAATTATCGATTTACTCTAAGCATTTTCCATATCCAATAAGAAAATTGAAAATGCTCTGACCTACACATTAATAACTAATGTAATCACACATATTTGAAAAGAATTTAAATGCTTTATATATTTTTCAAACAAATTTTAATTCTTATGAAGCATTGTGATCAGATTCAAATTTACAGTACAGCAATGAAACAGCTATTTAACAGCAGGAATATTTCTTGACATAATTCATGACACAATTTCTGCAAAGGCTGAACTTCTTTGAAAAGAAAGAAAAGGAAATTCAATGTCCATAGCCTAAGAAGGGGATGTTAGAGCATCTGGGAAATATTGGCTAAAATTCCTTATTTTATCAGATATACCTTCAAAGAGTTGACTGTGGGGTTGGCGCTATGGCGTAGCAGGTAAAGCGCCATATAGGTGCTAGTTCGATCCCAGCTGCTCCACGTCTGATCCAGCTCTCTGCTATGGTCTGGGAAAGCTGTAGAAGATGGCTCAAGTCCTTGGACTCCTGCACTGGCTTGGGGGACCTGGAGGAGGCTCCAGGCTCCTGGCTTCAGATCAGCACAGCTCTGACGGTTGAGGACAACTGGGGAGTGAACCAGTGAATGGAAGAACTTTCTCTCTCTCTCCCTCTGCCTCTCCTTCTCTTTCTGTGTAACTCTGACTTTGAAATAAACAGGGGCCGGCACTGTGGTGCAGCAGGTTAAAGCCCTGGCCTGAAGCACCGGCATCCCATATGGGTGCCAGTTCTAGTCCTGGCTGCTTCACTTCCTACCCAGCTCTCTGCTATGGCCTGGGAAAGCAGTGGAAGATGGCCCAACTCCTTGGGCCCCTGCATCCACATGGGAGACCCAGAAGAAGCTCCTGGCTCCCAGCTTCAGATCGGCTCAGCTATGCGTGTTGCGGCTATCCAGGGAGTGAACCAGTGGATGGAAGAACTCTCTCTCTGTCTCTACCTCTTTCTGTAACTCTGTCTTTCACATAAATATAAAATAAATCTTTAAAAATAAATAAATACATCTTTTTTAAAAAAAGAGTTGATTGTAGCTCACTCAATGGCAATTCACATTTAAAAGAATACTGAACTATATGCAAGTATTTGATTATCAATGAAAATGAACAGGTTATTGCTCAATATAAAATCATCTCTATTAACATTTACTATGTATAGTACCTATTAAATATATGAGTCCCCAACAAGTACACAATGGCTGCCGAATTCTCACAAAGTATAAATTCATACCTCTTCCATCAGATGTAAGCAAGGCTCACTCTCTCAATGTCTTTAGATCTACTTACTTTGCACCTTATCAGGAAGATAAGCATTATCTTATCAGGAAGATTAAGCATTATAGACAGTTAAGAAGTTTTTTAAAAATTTTTATTTATTTACTTGAGAGGCAAAGTTAAAGACAGAGAGAGGGAGGAACAGAGAGAAAGGTCTTCCATCCGCTGGCTCACTTACCAAATGGTTGCATGGCTGCAGCTGGGCCATTCCGAAGCCAAGAGTCAGAAGCTTCTTCCGGGTCTCCCATGGGGATGCAGGGGCCCAAGTACTTAGGCCACCTAATACTGCTTTCCCAGGCACATTAGCAGGGAACAGGATCAGAAACAGATCAGCTGGTAGTCGAACTGGTGCTCTTATGGGATGCTGGCACTGAGGGCAGATGCTTAACCTAGTACCCCACAGTAGCAGCCCCATTAGTATTTTGTTTTTAAAATATATTTATTTATTTGAAAGTCACATTTATAGAAAGGAGGAGAGTGAGAGTGAGAGAGTGAGAGAGAGAGTGAGAGAGAGAGAGTGAGAGAGTGAGAGTGAGAGTGAGAGTGAGAGAGTGAGAGAGTGAGAGAGTGAGAGAGTCTTCCATCTGCTGGTTCACTTCCCAAATGGTCGCAACAGCCAGGGCTCTATCAGACCAAAGACAGGAGTCATCCAGGGCTCCCACATAGTACAGGGGCCTAAGCACTGGGTCTATATGCCGGGGCTTTTCCCAAGGATGTTAGCATGGAACTGGGTAGGAAGTGGAACAGATAGGACAGGAACAAGTGTTCATGTGAGATGCTGCCATCGCAGCTGGCAGATTTACTTGCTATACCACATCATGGGCTGCTCTAGAAGTACTTACTTAAAAAAAAAAAAAAAAAAAGATAGGGGTTGTTGGGGGAGAGGTATTTAATGTAGCATTTAGGATGCCCAAATTAGAATATTTGATCAATAGTCTGGAATTCAATCCAGGTCTCCTCTATGAGGGTGAGGGACTTAAGTACTTGAGCCATTACTTGGTACATCCCAGGGTGCACGGTAGCAGGAAGCTGAAATCAGTGGTGGAGCCTAACTTGAACCAAGGCATTCTAACATGAAATGCACACATCTCAAGTCATGTCTTAACTGCTATGCCAAAAGCCTGCTCCTTAAAGTCTTTTTTTATATATATATATTTGGTTGAATAAGAGTTATAGAGAAGGAGAGATGGAGGCAAAGACAGAGAGAAGGATAGATCTTCCATTGCTGTTTCACCCTCCAAATGGCCAACAGCCAGGACTGGGCCAGGTTAAAGCCATGAGCCAGGAGCTTCATCTGGGTCTCCCATGTGGGTGTAGAGTCCCGAGGACTGTCTAAGGCACATCAGCAGAGAGTTCACTTGGAAGTGGAGGAGCCTGGACTTCACCAAACAGGATGTTGGTGCTACAGGCAGCAGCCTTAGCTGCTACATCATAGCATCAGCCTTGAAAATCTTATTTTTAAACACATTTAATACATTAAACATATTTAATATGTAATGGCAAACTAACAGTTTGGGTTTTGTTTCTTCTATCCAAAAGATTAAAAAAAAAAGAATTGTTAGGCTACTAATAATATTACTAATTCAGTAAATGTAAATTAAACATTAAAATTGGTTCATTATGCATACCTTAACAAGTTTCAAAAGCTCATAGAGATCTTCAACCTCATCACCTTCACATTTGGTATATACTAGTTCTGTGTCCAAGCTTCTTCCTCTGATGGTCCGGCGATAGAGGGGAAGAGCCATAGCTTCTGCATATAAGTCAATGGCATGATGACCCACAGTCTGATACATGTAGCTATCCAGTTCATCGGACTCCACTGCAATGATTAAAATGGTAAGAAGCAGTAAAATGTTGTGAAAGGAAAAAATGGATTTGAAAGCCCATCTAGGTTTTACTACTCAAAGAAGAGTCAACATAACTTAAGAGCTTACTATACTTTAGCTCTCTGCAATTATGCAAATAGTTGCATCAGTTCAAGTCAGCTCTAATATCTCTACAGCTAATTGCAATTACATATAAATCTTCAAAACTAATATGCAACAAACATTTAAAGAGAATAATGTATTCAACAAATTTTGACTTCAAATATAGATTTTATTGCATATTTTTCCAAATATTTTAAAGTTATTCAAAAAGTGATCTAGACTAGTATAAAAAATTATTAATGAAATAGCTACTTATTAATAAGTAGCAAAGCCTTGTAAGAAAAAATGTAGATGATCTCGGAATATTGTACATTTAGAACCTCAACAAAACTTAAAAACATACATAAATTCAATGCTGCTAGAGCAGTTATAAATGTGTACAGAGGGGCCGGCACTGTGGCTCAGCAAGTTAAGCCACTGACTGGTGTGCCAGCATCCCTTAAAGGCACCAGCTTGAGTCCTGGCTGCTCCACTTCTGATCTAGCTCGCTTGTTAATGCCTCTAGGAAAGCAGCAGAAGATGGCTCACATCCTTGGGCCCCTATACCTGCATGGGAGACCCAGATGAAGCTCCCAGCCCTAGCTATAATGGCTATTTGGGGAATGAACCAGCAGGTGGAAGACTGCTCTCTCTGACTCTTCCTCTCTCTCTGTAATTCTTTCAAATAAAATAAGTAAATCTTTTTAAAAAATGTCTAGAGAAACACACTAACTTAAGCTAATCAGTAACACAATCACTGGTTATCACAAGATTCCACAAATATGCATAAAATATTCAAAACACATGAATTAACTACAAAATATATAAGAATAACCACTTGATCTTGTAACTATCTTTTTTAAAAGAATCATGGATATATAAAAAGATCATATGCAAAGGTATTAATCAAAACATTATTTAACACAGATTAAAATTAAGAGCAGGCATGGGCCTAGCAGATACAGGATGGAAAAAGGATTTCATATCAACTAAGTTTTTAACTTGAAGATTAACAATGCTAAATAAGTATGTTTGCTGTATTTCTTACTAGTTCAATATACTTTCAGGTTCTCCAGTTACAGGACACAGTACGAACTATTAAACTTATCTATTCACAGAACAATTACATTTCCTGGAAGTAAAATACATTACAAAGAAGACATAATGCTATTGTAGAATAACATTTAATGACATAAAAAGTGGTCACAATATATTAAGGTAAAGAAAAGGTTACAAAAGAATTTGTTTGACATACACATGCAGATGAGATATATGTATACACTAATATATGTCAAGCAAGTCCAGGCTTTCCACTAAATCTGAAAATATCCCACCAAAAAATAATGAAAAATTATAGTGTAAGGTTCACTTCAACAATCAAAACCATCACCATACGCCATCCTATTTTGGCTTACAAGGTTTCTGAACCCACATATTAATTTGATACCCACATTATAAACCTGTTCATGCCAGACCCTGAGGATCTCTAAAGGAAATAGAGACATGGCAAAATAGAAACCTTCCTTCCTTTCTTTACCTCAAAGTTATACTAGATCTATAAATACATTGTTTTAAAGGATACTGATACATTGAACCAATCTGTTACTAGAAGTTTGAATTTCTCAGCAAGAAACATCCTATGTTAGTGTAATAATAATTAAAACAGTTTACTGGCTTCAAAACCTAGAAGATAATTTTCCTTTAATGCTCCATTTAGTCCTAACTATGATGTAATTTTTATTACTGGAAGCTACATAATAACAATGGTGTGAGAGCAAATAAAACCCAAAGGCTCCACTGTCGCCTGAAGCACCTCAATTAACAGGCCACGAAAGTTCCTACTGCAAATTTAAAGAGATGGTTTTGTGAATTTTATGACAGATTCACATTACCCTCATTGATGGGAATAAATTTCTTTCCAGGCTACCCACTGAAAATCCAATGCTGTGAATTCACTCTAACCAAGTTTGTTCTACATTCTAACTATCTCTAAGAGTCATTCCTCACTGAGGTCCTTACACCACATTTGGGGGGGGGCGGGGAGGTAGGAAAGAAGCTATTCCAGGAATCATTCAATAATTCCAACTTCCTGTTGACTTTAAATCTAATTAGTTAAATCCTCTCAATCTACTAACAGCCATCAACTCTTTCGTGCAACATCCACAGACTGCAGCTTTTTCCAGCTTTTTACTTCATATTATTATTTTCTAATTTGTTTCTCTTTTTATTCTGTCCATCAATGACCTAGAAAAAGGAAAATGGGGACAGGGGCACCACCACAAGGCTTCAAAGGACCAAGGGTATAAACCAGTCCATTCCACTTTCTCTGAGATAACATCTCTAGGCAGGATAAAAGGCTGGAATATAGTTATATGTTCTCAATTTGTTTCCAGACTTCTCCAGGGCCTTTCTGTCCAGCTTTTCCTAACAAACGAAGGCAAAGCAAGCGAAACCAAGGCCACACCGAAGATAGCTCCTTCGATTTTCCGGAAAAAGCACTTTCCATCAAAGTTGAACAGCAGTTTTTGAACTCACTCCTTTTAAATGATCTGCACGTGATGTTCTCCAAATAGCCTGTGGAACCACACTCAGGTGGTTTTAGCCTAGAAATTAGAAGAGGGGGCACACTCTTCTCCCACTACATGCTCTTCCACCAGCCAGCACTAGCAAATTCGAGGTGACACTGACAGCTTCTCTGGCACAGGAGCCTCTGCTGGGCAGAGTCAGGGTGAAAGCTTAGAACCACCAGCAGACATGGCGTCTGGGGCAGGGGGAGGGAGGGACACGCCACCGCACCACACCATGCCCTCAGGCAGGGAGCACAGACTCCCACCTGTGCCTCAGCCCAGAGTGCAGCCATCTTCCCATTCCCCCTACTGCTCGCAGAGGATCCTGGGGTGCGCAGCCCAGTTCTCCCAGGTGCCGATGCTGGGACTTGTGTAAAGTCTTGGGCACACCCTTTACATTATTCTTATTCCATTTACTATTGAATTTTTTATTACCAACACTGTTCTAAATAAATGTCTCCTTTCCCTGAAAGGTATAATTTAAACTCATGTTTCCTTGTCATTTTACCATCGGAGCAGTGAAACCATGAGCACATGCAAAATTACACGAGTACAATCATGACTCTGTACAAGGTAAATATAGTAATTCATGTAGAAAATCTGAAGAGAAGAAACTCCAAGAAGGAAGTTATTATTACACATATTTATATATACATATCACATATGTACTACATATAATATAAACAACTTTTTTAAATACTAATATATCTGGAGATGGAAAGCTTAAAAGACTCACTTCCCTGATTGGCCACAAACAATAAGGGAATTTCTTTAGTTTGGTAACAGCTTAAACCTGAAAGGAGACTCTACTTCTTTTATAATATAGAAACTACAGTGCAGTTCCCACTTACCCTCAAAAAGCCTTACTAAAATGAGAATTAGAAAGTCATTCCAAAAAAAAAAAAAAAAAAAACCTCCGTTCTAAAACATCAGCCATGAACGGTATACCAGCACAAAATCCTAGAGTGGGTATGTGTCCTGGCCCTCCACAGGAATTGCTGTACCTCTGAAATCAAACACTTCTAACCTCTATCTTCTGACATTACTTCCAGTAACGCTTGGTTCTTAACCATAGAAGAAAAGAAAATTCAAATATATGGCTGAAATAACATCTCACTACTCCAGGGTTAATTCAAGTCAGTTCATATTCATCTGTCTTCCAATAAACTTTGAGTAAACTTCTATTAGAGGCATAGAGCTATCCCAAGAACTAAGGTGCAGTTAAAGGAAGATAGAAGATATGACCTCTCCTCTCAAGCTTAAATCAATCTATTCAGGGGATATAAAATAAGAATAAGATGAATAGAAAGCAATTATACAATGATATAAAAATACAAATACAGTAGACAGGCATCCCTGATAAAAGAAAAAAAGGGAGCATGGAAGGGAGGGAGGGACAAAAAGGAAGGAATATAAGGCTTGATTCCCAATCAATTAAATTTACAGAATACCCACTTCATGCCAGCAACTAGGTTAATGTCTTTACATATCCCATCCATTGAATTCATCCTAAACTAACAGTAAAATAAAAGCATGGATTCCAGAAAAAAAGTTAAGTGAAAGGGATAATTATAAGATCTTACTATGGCCAGCATTGTGGCACAGAAGATTAAGCCACAACGCCACCATTCCATATGCGCACCAGTTCAAGTCCTGGTTGCTCCATTTCTGATTCAGCTCCCTGCTAATGTGCCTGGGAAAGCAGAAGAAAGACAAGCTGAATTCTAAGCTGCTGGCTTCTGGTTGGACAAGCCCCAGCTGTGGCAACCATTCCGGGAGTGAATCAGTGGATGAACGATCTCTCTCCCTTTCTTTCTCACCCCCTCTTTCTGTCACCATGATTATTTCAAATAAATAAGTAAATTTTTTTTAAAAAACAGATATTACTATAAGAATCACATGCAGCCGTAACATATCAGATTAGACAACTACTAATCTTTTCTTACTATTAGATTTTAGCAATTATAAATTAGAACAAAACTGTACGAAAAGAAAATCAGTTAAAGAACCATATATATATATAATTTTTAAAACTTTTAATTGGGGAAATTTAATTGGGGAGAAAATTGGAACAAGTAGTCCACCTAGATTTATGGATTTGTGGATGTCCTTGTTCACACAAATGAAAAGTGAAATGTATTCATTACGCTTCTCTCAAGTCCCACTTTGACAAAGAAGGTTGCTAAGCTGCATTATTCTAATAAGATTCATATATTACCACTTCCATATATGTCTCACTTCTCAAGTTCTCCGAGGTATGAAGACTCTATCTTTAATCTCCCTGTATAGCACCTGTAACATTTAGAGATGTGGTGTGGTGCAATGGGAGGGTTCCAATCTCTGCTCTGCAGGATTATGCTAGCTATTTTACTTTGTACAATTATAAAATTCTGAGCTCAGCATCCCTATCTTGTAATAGATTAATAATCTCTCTCTAGTAGGAGTCGTTATGAGAACTAATAATATGCAAGTAAAAACATTTAATGTCCAGTTCCATAGGGAGTGCAGTGGAGGATGGCCCAGGTGCTTGGGCCCTGCACCCCATGGGAGACCAGGAAAAGCACCTGGCTCCTGGCTCCTGCCATCGGATCAGCGCGGTGCGCCAGCCGCAGCGCGCCGGCCGCGGCGGCCATTGAAGGGTGAACCAACGGCAAAGGAAGACCTTTCTCTCTGTCTCTCTCTCTCACTGTCCACTCTGCGTGTCAAGAAAAAATAAAAAAAAAAAAAAAAAAAAAAAAGAATCTAGTATGTAATAGGTACCAAATATAAACTGGTTCTTTTTCTACCTTTGCCTAATGCATACATAGTATACAATTATGAAGTTAGAGTTTCAGTCATTTAGAGAACTTTCCAATAGAGGCAAACACTTACCTTCCTTACCAGCTGGTCTTAGATTTGCTAAAGCAACAATCTGATGCCCCGCAGCAATGCACTGCATCATATTGTAACAGCTGTCCTTCCCACCACTAAAAAAAAGGTCAATACATGACAGAAAAAGAGATATCAGGTTACTGACCATAATTCGACAAAGAATCACTAGCTATCAAAATAGAACACATTATTTACTCAGCTTGCCAGTATATATAAGAGACTGTTTCATAATTAGAATGCAAACCGTTGACTTTTCTTTCTAAGTCATAAGCACACTGAGAAAATGGATCTGAATGTCAAAGGTTGCTGTTCTTAAGAGACATGAAAGAACGTGCTTTTATAACAAAGAATGTTCTAAACAAAACATGATCACTTTAGGGTGTGATAAAGGCTTTGCTTAATATATAAAGGGCTATTTCTATCCTAAATATGTATTACATATACTCCTAAGATGAAACTATATAAAACAGGTAGAAAAACATCCATTCTATCCCACTAACTAGCTGTTGGTTATTGTCACCAATTAAAGGGTCAAGTTAAAGATCTGAATTCCAATCTAATAACAAAATTTGATATTCTTGGAGAGATCAAATTCTATAGAAATAAACAGCAAAACGCTCAATCACACTAACAAAGTTAAACATTAGTACTATCAGTACTTTAGCTATCATTCCTTCTTTTCATTCCTTCTCAAGGGGAGGAAGAGGGCAAGAGGCAAAGTGAAATATACAAAATCCCATACTCCCTCTCTTCAGATTTGAATATTCCCCTAAGTAAGTCTTCTACAATTTTTTAGATTGAATCTCACTAGTCTAAAACTCCAGGACAAAAATATTTTTTAAATTCTTTTGACTATCAAAGTTTAAAGGGTATGCATCCATAATCAGTACATAGTCTTACTCTTTATCTCAAAATACTCCAACATTTCATGTATGAATTTAAAGTAGCATTTCCAAAATTGTGTTCTTTGTCCAACAAACTGTTGAGTACTGTTGAGAAAGATTTTCAAGGTCAACCAATCTTGAGAAATGCTGAGTACCTTTATCTCCTCTTGGTATTCCATGAGTTGCATACATATTATTTTAAGTGCAAGGTCCTACACAGAAGAGTCTTAGCTCCCAACTCTGGGAATGTAAAGGAAGCTACTCAGTATGATTGAGATTATATACTTTACTATAAAATTGTGGAAAAAATGACCTACCTAGATAATCCTAAAGGTGTTATTTAACTATAAAATTCAATGACTTACTTATAAATTAGGAAACTAATGTTCTGTCAAACAATATGAAAGAATCTTGGATTCCCTTATTCTCTAAAACACACAGTATATCATCCTTCATTGTTACACACACACAAATTGCAAATTTGCTATGTTCATTTTAAAATACACTTTTCACACATATGTGAAGAACTTGAAAAGTTCATGGAAAAGATATACTATGAAAAACCTATGCATTGATGTAAAAAAATTGCACCAAAATAACTTACATTTTAATTCCATTTCCATGTACTTTTTGATGTGCCCCTAATATACACACATACATACACATAATTATACATGATAGATGTATATAACACATAGGCATGTATATCATATGCATATGCTTATGCATTCATACTTACAGCTAAACCTCCTAACATGTATACAGTTCTTACTGTTTGCAAGAATTTACTAACAATGCCCTTAAGTAAATTGCTTTATTATGAAAGTAATATTTGCACATTACCAAAGATTGTAATGGATTACTCCAATCTTCTTCTCCCCTCCCCTCTAATACTTCTATGTCTTTAGCTAGTATGTGTTACTGTAGTCATTAAACTTCTGGCAAACTGAATCTGTATGGGAATTACTCATTTCCTGGGCTACTTTTAATTCTTATCTGTCTAGACCAAAGGAAAACCACAATGGTCAAAGCTTAATCATTCTCTTTACAGAAGAAATTTACTGAATAACTAATTATTGTGACATTATAGACCAATATCTTAAAACGGCATCGAAGCAGAAGGAACTGGGATATTCTAATCACTACAGAAGGGATTCGAAGGACTAACAAGAGTCCTAAATAGGTCAATAATGTCAACAACTGTATACCATCTAGGGCATTAAATTACAATGCTTATGAAATCTCCAATGTGCTAACAAAAGTAAAGGAATCATTTTTATCTCAAGAGACAACACAGGACCAAACCTCATGAAACAAAGTATTTAAGTAGTCCAAACCCCCTAACATGGCTAGTGGGTTCCTTTTTGCCTCGAGTACAGTATCATTTAAAGTGGCCTGTTTTAGGTATGTCAGTCACAAGCCTAATTCTTTAGAAACCCAAATAAAATGAACTACTATAGATTTCAAATTCCTTTTGGAAAATGGCATATGTTACTAAAAGGTCACCCTCCAAAAAGTAACAGCAACTGGAGCTAGCATAAAAGTTAAAATTCTGTCTCCACTACGATGGAAAAGATCCCTTCACTGGACTTGAGTCCCAAGGAAAAACACACGGCTCCATAAACAATCCACATCGGTCCTGCGCTGATAAGGGAGGGAACGAATGCAATCAGCAACAGCCTGAAGACCTGGCGGACCGAAAGGAACTAAAAAGGGCCAATAAAGGGTGGAGAAGGGAGAGGAAGCACGTGCTGGATAAGTGCAGTTAATTTTAGCTCTTAAACTTCACGCTCACGGGAGCATTTAAAAATTCGACAACCAGCCGCACCAGAGTAATTAAACAACGCTTCCGGTTATGGGACCCAGGCCTCAGTTGCTCCCCAGGTGAATCCAGGTTTGAGGGCCAGAAAAATCACAGAGGCAGCGACTAACAGGAGAGCGAACCCGCGGAACAGCGGGAGTCGGACAATAGCCGGAGGACTCCGCCTCTTCCTGTAGCCCGGAAGAGCTACAGAGCCCCCGACTGGCTTCGGGAGAGACACCCTCTCTTTCGGCGCCAGGGGTGGCAGGAATGGGACGAGAGGGTGGCCGGGGAGGAGGCAGGCGGCTCTGGCGCACAGTTACCTGATCAGAGCCGCGACCCTCATGCTGGGCGCAGTGCGCGTGCGTACGTGCGGCGGGCGCGGACGTCGGCCGTGGTGTATCCGCCCCGCTCGCTGGACGCTCTGTGGGGCCTTGTCCGGGTGTTCGCTCCACCGCCTGTCTCGGACCGTCGCTGCGGCACCTACGGCTGCCTGCGGGAGAATTGGGCGCGGAGGGAACGGCACTTGGGCGCCGTGTCCCTGAGGCAGGGGGTGGTGACCCGGAAAAGAATACATTTAGGCGCGACCTAGCCACCTAAGTGAGGGCACTGAAGCTACCGGAGGAAGGGCAAGGCCCGCGTCTCCAGGCCCGCCCCGGTGCCTCGGGATTTGCCTTGATAAGAGGGTGTTCTAAGTCTCCACGGTTTCTGGAGAGAGCAAGTTTACCCTTCCTTCCTTCCGAAGAAAATTCCTACACATCTTAGCTTTTTCACTTGTATCTCCTCTGGCCTCCCACCTTTAAGGTTCAGAGATGAAATCCAGCCTCGAAGGGCTGTGGTAATTTTTTTTTTAAGATGATGATGATGATTTGAAAAGCAGAGTTGACGGGGGAGATAGAGTCTTTTCACTCCCCAAATGGCCGCAGTGAACTTGGTCGAGCAGAAGCCAGGAGCCTGGAACTCCGTCAGGGTCCCCCACATACATGGTAGAGGCGCAAGGCCTTGGGACATCCTCTGCTGTGTTCACAGGCGAATCAACAGCCCTGACTCCAGCTGGCACTGAGACACGGGATACCTGTGGTGGCTTAACGCACTGCACCGCAGCACCAGGCCCTGTAGTAGCACAAACATAGAAACTAGGAAATCTTTGCAGAAAGGAAACCCAGCTTCTGATTCTATTTACCAAATACAAATTTATATGATCCTTTCAAATATCAGGTACTGTTTTAGGCTCTTTGAGTATAGGCGTGAATAAAACAAAGACCATTACCCCTCATGGAGTGAGGAAAAGACAACATACATTTTAAAATCATATGGTATGGGCCGGCGCCGCGGCTCACTAGGCTAATCCTCCGCCTTGCGGCGCCGGCACACCGGGTTCTAGTCCCGGTTGGGGCGCCGGATTCTGTCCCGGTTGCCCCTCTTCCAGGCCTGCTCTCTGCTGTGGCCCGGGAGTGCAGTGGAGGATGGCCCGGGTGCTTGGGCCCTGTACCCCATGGGGAGACCAGGAAAAGCACCTGGCTCCTGCCATCAGATCAGCGCGGTGCGCCGGCTGCAGTGCGCCGGCCGCGGTGGCCATTGGAGGGTGAACCAACGGCAAAGGAAGACCTTTCTCTCTGTCTCTCTCTCTCACTGTCCACTCTGCCTGTCAAAAAATAAAAAATAAAAAACCATATGGTATGTTACAAAGTGCTATGAGTAAAAGTTGAGATTAAGGAGAATCAGGAGAAAGTTAGAAAGGCAAATTGCACATTTAAATAGTGTCACATTGGAGCTGACTTGAGGGAGAGTTGGCTATGTGTATAACTTAAGGCAGAAAGATAAAACGTGGTGGAAAATTGTGGGCATGCTGCATGTTTGTGGAAAAGCAAGGTGGGGTTATTGTGGCTGGAGCAGAATAAATAAGTTAGTGGGAAATGAGGTTAGAGTGATGGAGGGGAAAGACCATTGCAGCCTTTTCAACAAAGGTGTGACTTAAAACCTTAAAAAGGAGTGTTAAGAACATATCTATCAGAAAGATACTGCAGTAATCCAGGAGGGAGACGATGGGGCCTACAACTGTGATAGTGAATTTTGTAAGAACTGTGAGGATTGCAGCTCTGTTATGAAGATAGAGCCAATAAAATTAGGCAAGCATTAGATATGGTATATGAAAGAGAAAGCTATGAAAGATGATGCCTGTGTCATGAACAAAATAAGTAAATATATATAAGGAATTTAGCATCATTCCAAGTGCAGGGTAAGCATTCATTTTTATTATGCTATGTTTTCATCAGCTCCAGTACTCAGTAGGAGTAACTAGATCAGTGATAGTCTTCCTACAAATGTTAGCATCTAAAACCATGTGGTTTTAAAATTTTGCAATTACAGACATTTAGAAAATGAGTTAACTTGGCAGTCTAATTAGGGATTTAGAACAAATGCATTAAACATTTAAAAGAGCATATGTTGAAAGTAACAAACTGCAATAAGTATGGCTAGAGCCCTATGAGTAGAACCTTCAAAGTAAGGACTAGAATAAGGATATGACATGGAAAATGCACACAGTAGAACAGAAGAAAATGGACTTTCCAAATAAGCAGCAAGACAGGAATGAGTGTTGTATGTTGTACAACAATGGAGAGACGACCAGATGAATTGTGAGGGTATATTATAGAAAGCCTAAAATAAGTTGTGTGGATGGGATGAGGACATGGAAAGCCAAAATCAGGAGTTTCAATACTAGAAAGTTTAATCTGGTTTGCTATTAATTTTTTTCCAGAAGATTGTATAAATTAGCAATTATTAACATGGTAAGACATTTTGATGAAGTAGACTAGAGCATTCCCAAAGAATCTTGTATTTTCCAGCAATGAGTATCTCTTCCTTGCTAACAAAGCTGCATCCTCAGGACTCTGACATTATTTTTTGTTTCATCTAATAACTGGGCTTGAAAGGTCCATTTTAAGACATCCTTTACAAACAAGCTTATTACTATGTGTATATCCTGAGCTAAGCTGTATGTTAGGAAATATATTGAGACCATTCTCTCATGACCACCCATTCTTTAGCTTGATATTGTTGATCTCCCCCTGAATTGATCCTAGCATCTTTGTATTAGATATCTCTCCTCCAGGTCCTTCTTGCCCCTTGAAAAATATTTCTTAGTGCCTATTCCCTCCTCTTAAAAGCCTTCCACCTAAATTTTGTCAACCAGTGCATTTTTCTTGTTGTCTAATGTTGGCTAATGGCTACATGTGTTATCTCTTAACATTTGTGGGGGACAACATTGTGGCATCGTGATTTAAACCTGGACTTCTAAAACAATATCCCATAGAAGAGTGCCAATTCTTAGAGTCTTGGCTGTTCCACTTGGTATCCAACATTCTTCTAATGAGCTTGTGAAAGCAGCAGATCATGGCCCAACTAGCTGGGTCCTTGCCACCCACATGGAAGACCCTAATGATATTCCAAATAAATGGAGTTCTAGGCTTTGGCCTGGTCCAGCCCTGGCTATTGTGACCATCTGGGGAGTGAACCAGCATGTGGAAGGTTCTTTCTCTCTCTCCATCTCTCTCTCCTTGTCACTCTGCCTTTCAAAGAAATAAATATTTTTTTAAAAATTGTGTATGCTCACATGGTGGCCTTTATCTCATTTTTAGCATGCAAAGCTCTGTGCTTGAGGGTCCCATCAAGATCAGCATATAAATGATAGGCTCAATCTGTTTTAGATAGATAGATATATTTGTATTTATGAAATTAGAATATAACAGGTTATAACCATCAAAGTTATTTGTAGATTCACACATGTTCTTGGATAACTTTTTAAAGTAAGTGACCAAAATGAGAACAATTCTGAAACCTGAGAAAGTCCTATTATAATTCTCTTGGAAACTAAAGATTAGACTCTGCACTAACTTTCTCCATTGAGGATTTTAAATCATTCTCATCACATTATATGGGTGTCATTTTCTTTTGCTGAAACTTGAAAATAGATTACATTCTTCAAGAAGTAGAGGCCAAGACAGGGTAAGATGTGTAAGAGATTGGAGAAGATGTCTGTGGAGGCTAAAGGAAGAAGGAGGAGAAGACAGGGAGACTCAGATTAGAATGTGAATTGAAACCTGTGAAAACAGAAAGAGAAAGAAGAAAGATAGAAAGAGATGTAGTTTGCACTGCAATTCTGTGTTAGAACAATGGAGAGTTCTGAGTTAAAATTTTCCATTGAAGGAATTCCAAATTTGGCAGGACTATCTCAGTGTTAGTTATCAGTCATTATCTTAGAGCAGCACAGGGAAAGCTTGGTCTGGTACAAACTCAGTGGTTCAAACTCCAAAAATAGAGTCCCTAGAGACTATTAGCTAACAATGCGTGTGGTAGAGTTCCTCCATGATTTCCATAAATGCTTCTTTCTAAGGATAACTTAGAAAAAGGGAATTAAGAAAAAAAAAACTATAGTCCTTATCATTGAAATTGATCTTGGGTCCCACTGGCACTCATCCTGTCCTCCACTATTTATTGCACACTACCCTTGCAACTATCACTTTAGTAGATGTTGTTGACTTACTTGGTTGTATTATCCTTTCTTGCTGGCCCTTGAGTACAGAGAACTAATAGTGCCCTACTACTATATATGGTTTGTAGTTAAATAGATCAATGCTCTGTCCTCTTGGAAAACAGAAAAACCTTTCAAGACCAGGCCCTTACCCTTGCTCAACCCAGAGTTGTGTGAGGTAAAGCCTGGAGTTCCTCAGTAGGTCTTTGGGAGTGATTGTAAGTAGGGCTGTTCTTGTAAAAGGCCTAAATTTTCCAATTAAAATATGCAGACAGGCTGAATGGATTAAAGAATAGGACCCATTTAAGAAACACCTCACCAACAAAGATACACAGGCTAAAAGTGAGAGGATGGAAAAAGATATTCCATGAAAATGAAAATAAAAGTTATCATGAGTGGACATCCTAAAATCAGACAAAATAGACAAAAAATGTTAAAAGAGACAAAAAGGATATTATGTAATAATTAATGATTAAAGGATCAGTTCAACAGGAACTGATAGAACTGTAGTAGTAAATACTAGAGTTATAAATCAATAATATAGACTCTCCCAACAAACAAAAGCCCAAGACCAGATGACTTTACTGCTGAATTCTACCAAACGTTTAAAGAATAAATAATAAAATTCTTAAACTATTCAAAATAATTGAAAGGGGAGAAATCTTCCAAAACTCTTTCTATAAGGCTAGTATCATCTTAATTCCAAACCCAGAAAAAGATTGAATAGTGAAAAAGAACTATAGACCAATATTCAACAAAATAATAGCTAACCAAATCCAAAAACACATCAAAAAGGTCCTCAGATCAGGTAGGATTTAACACTGGGACGCTGAGATGGTTCAACATACACAAATTAATAAATGTGATAGATAAAATTAACAAAATGAAGAATATAAACCATATGTTTATCTCAGTAAATGCAGAGAAAGCATTTGATAAAATACAACATCTTTTCATGATAAAAACCTTAAGCAATTTCAGTATAGAAGGAACATAGCTCAACACAATCAAAGCAGTATATGATAAACCCA